GGGGGAGGAGGGATTGATGGAGAGAGGGTGAGGGCGGGAAGGAACACAGCATCAGCCTCGCTGTGTCTGTACAGCCGTGAGGCTGCTCACCCTCCTGTGTCTCCCTCCAGCATCCCGCCTTCCTACAAGGCCCTGCCCTCCGTGTCGGAGACCTTCCCCACGCTGCGGTCCATGATCGAGGCGCTCAACGCCGACGCCTCGCCGCGCTGCCTGCAGCAGCTCTAGTCCCGCCTCAGGGGCTCTCCACCAAAGGGCCGGACTCTTGCCCCTTAAGTTATTTTTTAAAACGTGGAATTACAGAGAAATTAGGTCCTCTATTACTTTTGATACCAACTTTTGATAGGGATCGAATACTTGAAATCGCTTCCTGTACGGTCGGCACGGGAACAGCAATCATGCCAGGATCTGGGGGCAGCGGCGGGGGAGGGGGTTCGCCAGGGGCCTGCTGGCTCCCCCCACCCCCCCTCTGGCCTCCCTCCCAGCAAACGTTTACTTCACAACCCAAAGCTAACGGCGAGAAGGGGCAGAAACAACAGGGCAGGCGTGCCTGCATCCCCGCACGGGATTGATTTTATGACATCACTTCCCAGGTTTTGTGTTATGACATCATTCTGGTCCGCCTCCCGCGGGGGCTCCCCGCTGGGGCTGCCAGCGGAGCCCGCAGCCCGGAGCCCGGCTCCAAATGGTGCCGACCCGCACGCGGAATCACCGAACCACGTTTTCGATTTGTTTCTTCCCCTCGCCGCTGGGAAAAATAAACAGGGGCGGTGTCTCCGACTCCCCGGTCTCAGACACTGGATCATGTATGCTTTTTCGTTTTGTGAACCGGCTTCCCCTCAGGCCTAAGAGCATTCGGGAAAGCACGGGTCGCCCTCCGCAGACAGGGTACGTGAGCGGCGTGCGACGGGCTCATTAAACTGTTGCCATTTCCAGCCGTCTGCCTGTCCTCTGCTTTCGGAGGAAGCGCCAACCGGCCCCCTGTCCCGTTCCCGTGTTTACGTCGGGCCTCGCTGAGGGTCCGGGCTCCTGGGATGTAATCGCTGGACGATGGCCGGTGACCCGCCAGGCTCCGCAGGGCACGGCCGACCCGTCGGGTGGGGGTCCCCCTTGGGACAGACGTCCGTCTAGCCACCCGATGCTCGGATGCTCGGGAAGCCGCCCAGGGCCAGGAAACGGGGTGGCCATGGACTGCTGACCCCAGTCAGGTGACAGCACCGAGCCTGGGGCTTCTGCCTCCGCCATGGCTGGACTCTGGTTTAAATTAGGCTGGAAAATTACCGGCCGCGGCCGCGGCACGGAAAATTCCGCTTGTACCCGGTCCTGTGCCTGCACACGTCAGCCGTGACAGCAGCGGGCGCCCGTACACGCAGGCCGGGCCCTGTGACTCCTCGCCAGCGGGTCTGCTTGCCTCGTGCCCCCGAGCAGTTCTCTAACATGGGGCGTGGGCTTGCTTCCTAGCAAGAGCTCTGTCCATTAAGAGCCTCTGTACCAGATTCCAGAAGCTTCCAGCCCATCCGTGTGGCCCAGGGGTTGAGCTTCGGCCCAGGAGCCAGGAGGTCACGGTTCGGTTCCCAGTCGGGGCATATGCCTGGGTTCGGGTTCGATCCTCAGTGTGGGGCACTCTGGAGGCAGCCGATCAGTGATTCTCATCATTGATGTTTCTCTCTCTCCCTCTTCCAATCTGAAATCAATACAAATAAATATGTGTGTGTGTATATATATATATATAAAAGAATGATATCAGAGGACAGAGGGCCCTGTTTTGGGTCCTGTGGCTTTGCCCGGAGAAGGCGGTTCTGTTCCTTAGACATGGGTGCCTCGCCCCTGCTCGGACTTGGTGACAGACTATAATTCCCTCAAAACATTCACATTTCTGCCGAGAGTGAATCTGTCAGGTCCTCCCATCCTTCCCTTCCTCCTCGTCTCAGTCCTGAACTCAGCCCTCCAACCACACCATGCACCGGCTGGTCTATATCCACCAGGTTCGCTCTGGCCAGTGTTGCTCAGTGGATAGAGCGTCGGCCTGCAGACTGAAGAGTCACGGGTCCCACTCTGGTCCAGGGCATGTACCTCGGGTGCAGGCACCATGTGTCTCTCTCTCTCACATTGATGCTTCTCTCTCTCTCTCCCCTCTTTTTCCACTCCATAAATCAATAGGGAATTATCCTCAGGTAAGGGGATGAACCACACCAAAAAAATAAGCCAGGCTCACCCGCACCCGCACCCTCCCCCCCCCCCCCGCCTCCCCCACGCCCGTCCTCTCCGGGGGTGGGAGTGGAGCACTGAGCCCAGGCCGGGCGGCATCCGGAATAACCAGTCACAGATGCCGGATGAGTCACCGTCCTCGGGGCCCGCCCGCATCCCCACAGAAAGCGTCTGTAAGGAAGGTGGAAACTGGGAGAACAAATTCATTCCCCAGACATCTGTGTGTGTGTGTGTGTGTGTGTGTGTGTACTTTTATTGATCTCAGGAGAGGGAGAGGGAGAGAAACATCAATGACCAGAATCATTGTTCAGCTGCCTCCTGCACGCCTCCCACTGGAGATCCTTGGGATGGAGCTGGCAGCCAGGGCCTGTGCCCAGACCGGGAACTGAATGGTGACCTCCTGGTTCATGGGCCGATGCTCGACCACCGAGCCACGTGGGCCAGGCCATTCCATCTTTTTGCTTTTTAAATATTTTTATTGATTTCAAAGAAGGGAGAGGGAGAGAGCGATAGAAACAATGATGAGAGAGAATTGTTGATGGGCCGCCTCCTGCACGCCCCACACTGAGGATGGAGCCCACAACCCCGGGCCTGTGCCCCGACCGGGAATCGAACCCTGACCTCCTGGTTCACAGGTCGATGCTCGACCACTGAGCCACCCCAGCCGGCCTGTCATCTTATTTAGATTAATGGATCACCGTGGTACGAACACACAGGAAGTAGCACCCTTTGGGCCCGGCCGGGGTGGCTCAGTTGGCTGAGCATAGATCCATGGGCCCAGAGGCCACTAATTTGATCCCCCTGTGAAGGCACACGCCCGGGCTGCTGGCTGGATCCCAGTAGGGAGCGTGCAGGAGACAGCTAATGGATCTTTCTCTCTCCCTTACTCGCTCTCTCTAGAAAAACGGCTCTGTTTATATTAATTTTTACAATTCTTACACTACAGCCGCCATCTCCCTAGTTTACCTTATTACACATTTGGCATTTGCCTATTTTTAGTACGTCCCTGGAGTGCAGGACTATGTATATTCATTCCCCACCAGTTCCAGCCACGTTCTTCAATTCCCTGAGGGTCTTATAACCTGGAGGCGAGTTTCCTTTTAGCTGCTGCCCCTGATCTTCCAGACCGTGGACCTGACATACTTTTTGGCTGACGGCGGCCTTAAATTGGGTCTGTCAGGCCATCTTTATATCACGGCTTCTCAGGCAATAACTTATAGTTGGTCTGAAAAAAGGTAACTGGGTCGTGCTTTTTTTTTTTTTTTGAAAGCGACATTCGTTTGTGGCAGCCACTCTAAAAACCAGAGGCCGCCCCCAGTTTCTGATAGCAGCGAACATTTCCCATGCGAATTTCAAAGCAAGTGCCAAGATGTCAATGAACTCTGAGGAACACAGGTTTCCATGCTCCCCTCCCTACTAACCAAGGATCCCCAGGAGAAATCAGTGGGGCTCGGGTTAAAGGTACCTGACCTACGTGGCTGCTGAAATCCTATAGTCTTCCCCAAACTGCCATCCAGGCTCTGCCTGGTGGCTGTGCCCAGGATATCATGCTGATGACATTGTTGATAACAGCAATCTTGTATGATAGAGCCGGCCACATTCACGACATTCTAAAAATATTTTCTGGGCCAGACTGTGGTAAGGCCATCTCGAATTCAAAACAGAACTTTGGCCCTGGCTGATGTGGCTCAGTGGGTAGAGCGTCAGCCTGCAGGCTGAAGGGTCCCAGCTCCTCTCACCGGGACAAGGGCCCAGTGTCCTGGGCTCAGAGGAAAGCAGAAGAACTGGCTGGTGTGGCTCAGTGGTGAGCATGGACCTATGGACCAGGAGGCCACGGTCCCATGGTCAAGGGCACAGGCCCCGGTGGTTTCAGGTCCCCAGAGTGGGGGGAGCAGGAGGCAGCTGATCCATGGTTCCCTCTCATCATGGATGTTTCCATCTTTATCCCTCTCCCTTCCTCTCTGAAATCAATTTTAAAAATCTTTAAAAACACCGAAGCCGGTTTGGCTCAGTGGATAGAGCGTTGGCCTGTGGATTGAGGGGTCCTGGGTTCGATTCCGGTCAAGGGCATGTGCCTTGGTTGCGGGCACATCCCCAATGGGGGGGTGCAGGAGGCAGCTGATCAATGCTTCTCTCTCAATGACATTTCTAGCTCTCCCTCTCCCTTCCTCTCTCTAAAAAATAACATATATCTTTAAAAAAATAAAAATATATATTTAAAAAATATTAAGACTCTTTAAAAACAGAAGCAGAAGACGCTCATCGGGGCAGGGACGGGGAGGAACAGGCGGTGGCGGGTACATTTCTGGGCGGAAAAGTTTCCTTTGTCAAACAGTGGCCACGTGGCGCCATGGCGGCTCCGCGGGCCGCGGGGCCGGACTCGGACCAGGGGGCGCGCCGCCAGCGGCCTCGGGAGCTGGCCTGGGGGGGGCATCCCGGAGGGCGGACCCGGACCCCGGGCCACCCAGGACCTGCGGGACGTCATTGGGACAAACACGGAGGCGGGGGGCGGGGTTCCGGGGGCGGAGATAAGGCGGACGGGATCCTAGGGGGTTAGGGGTGCGGAGGACAGACTGGGGGGGGGGCGTGGGGGCGGGGCTTCTGGGCGGAAGGGCGCGCGGGGAGGGGCGGGGGCTCCGGGCGGGGCGGGGAGGAGGGCGCACGGGGCGGGGGGGAGGGGCGCGGGCAGGGAGGAGGGCGCACGGGGAGGGCGCGGGGCGGGGAGGAGGGGCTCCGGGCGGGGAGGAGGGCGCACGGGGAGGGGCGCGGGCGGGGAGGAGGGGCTCCGGGCGGGGAGGAGGGCGCACGGGGAGGGGCGCGGGCGGGGCGGGGCGGCGGCGCGGCGGGGCATGGCGTCCATGGCGGCGGCGATCGCGGCCTCGCGCTCGGTCGTCATGAGCGGGAACCGGCCGCTGGACGAGCGCGAGCGGCAGCGCCTGTCGTACCTGGCCTCGCTGAGCCCCATGGCGCGCAAGATCCTGCAGGACAAGGAGCGCGTCCGCCAGCGCTACGGGCCCGAGTGGGCGCGCCTGCCGCCCGCGCAGCAGGACGCGATCATCGACCGCTGCCTGGTGGGGCCGCCCGCGCCCGGCGCCCCCGAGCCGCCCGGCCCGCGCGCGCCGCCCGGCCAGAAGCTGGTGCGCTTCGGCGACGAGGTAGGCGCCGGGCCGGGCCGGGCCGGGCCGGACCGGAACCGGGGAACCGGGACCGGGACCCTCCCCGCCCCGCGCCCCTGCCCGGCCAGGATGGGGGGCGGGGCGGGGAGGGAAAGGGGGCGCCTCCCCGCGCGGAGCCGCCCCGGGATGGAGGGAGAGGGCGGTCCGGGAGCCGAGGGTCGGCGTGGGGGGCTCCGCGGAGTTTGGGGGGCTCCCGGGAGTTTGGGGGGCTCCCCGGAATTTAGGGGGCTCCCCTGAGTTTGGGGGGCTCCCCAGAGCAGGAGGAGGTCTCCAAAGACACCCCCCCCGCCCACCGCGGGGCCGTTGTTCGAAGCGGACACAGCGGGGGGGGGGGGTCCGAGCCGGACCAGCGGTTCCGATCCGCGCGCCCCCGCAGGGCAGACCCGCCCCCCGCCCCCGGGGGGCGCCCCGAAAGCTCCCGAGCCTGCGGGCGCCCGGCGAGGGGCCCCTGGAACCGCTGCGCACGATCAGGGGCGGGAGCGGCGCCCTCGGAGATAAGGGGGTGTCCCCGCGGGAGCTGGGCTTTGGGGGTGAGCGCGGCGGCCTGTGTCCCCCGGGAACACGGAGGGGCGCGCCCGCGGGACTCGGTCCGTTTCTAAGGGGGTGGCCGGGCCCCGGGGGGGGGGGGGCCTGGGGACTGAGGGGGACACGGACTCTGCGAGGAAAACTTGGGGCGCCCCACACCCCGTCCTGCGCTGCCCAGAAGCCTGTTTTTTGTTTTGTTTTGTTTTGTTTTCATTTTTTCTTGGAAATTTGTGGACCTGAAGCCTGCCTGCTGCCCTTAGGCTTAGCATGGGGATTTTTTTTGGGGGGGGAGGAAGGGCTTTGAAACTCAACTTTTGCCAGACAGAACGAGGGGTGTAAAAAGGAAGTCCCCACGGGCTGGTGGCCAGGGCTGGGGGTGCCAGTGGCCAAGGCTGGGGTTGCCAGTGGCGAACCCGGACCAGAAAAGCCTAATTTGCAAATTATCGGGGTGCCAGGGAGCAGGAGGAGGAGGCGCCTGGCTGGGGGGAGATTTTCCAAGGAAGCTGTGGGCTGTGGGAGGGGTTGGAGCTGGGAAGGCGGTTTGCATCCGAGCCCCAGGCCTGGGGCTGCGGAGACGTTTGTGAACAAAAGGTCTGAGCTCCTGAGCCCACGCCGATGCCCGGGACACGGACACGGGGTGGACGGAAATGGGCGGCCGATGGGGATTCATTCTGAGAGCGTCCCAGCGTCTGTCTCTCTCACCGCGGAGGTTTCTGCCTCCCCCTCTCCCTTCCTCTCTGACGTCAATAAACATATCGTTAAAAATAAATAAAGAAGTAAAAATGCATTCCTCTGGAGCTGGCAAAAGGCTGGCACCAGCTCAGGGGCTCCGTGGTTGAGCATCGACTTAGGAACCAGGAGGTCCAGGCGGTTCGATTCCTGGTCTGGCCACGTGCCCCGGGGTTGCGGGCCCCATGCCCAGGGTGGGGCGTGCAGGAGGCAGCGGATCCGCGATGCTCTCTCATCACGGATATTTCTGTCTCTCTGCCCCTCTCCCATCCTCTCTGGAATCAATAAAAATATATTTACGGGGTGGGGGGGAAAGAGTCTACATTAGACGTGAACTTCTGGACGCTTCGCCAGGAAAAAGAGGGTGGGGTCGGCCGGAGGGATGACAGTAAAGGTCGAAAATGAGACCTTTTCAGAGCGAAAGAATGCATCTCCCTCTCGATGTCCATTGCAGGGTCTGTGCTCAGAGGAGGCCGGAGGGGGTGGGGGAGGGGGGAAGTGCCGGCCGCTCCTCTGGAAAAGAAGTAAAAGCGAGAGGAAGTCAGCCTGTAAGTACTGTACTTACAGTAATGCTGGCCAGTGCCAGGCCAGCGTGGCTCAGGGGTGGAGCGTTGACCTGTGATGAACCAGGGCGTCACGGTTCGACTCCCGCTCTGGGCACAGGCCCAGGTTGGGCTGGATCCCCAGGGTGGGGTGTGCAGGAGGCTGCCGATCCGTGATTCTCTTTCATCAATGATATTTCTTTCTCTTATTCTCTCCCTTCCTCTCTGAAATTAATAAAAAATATTAAAAACAAAACAAAACACACACACACACACACACACACACAAAAAAAACACACCCAAATGTTGGTGAGTGACTGTCAGTTTCCCTTAGTTTGGGGTCTGGCTAAGAATATCCACAGGGCCTAACCGGTGTGGCTCAGTGGACAGAGCGTCGGCCTGCGGACTGAAATATCCCAGGTTTGATTCCAGTCAAGGGCATGTACCTTGGTAGCGGGCACATCCCCAGAAGGGGCTGTGCAGGAGGCAACTGATCGATGTTTCTCTCTCATCGATATTTCTAGCTCTCTATCCCTCCCCCTTCCTCTCTGTAAAAAAATCAATAAAATATATATATTTAAAAATATACCCACAGGCCTGCTCACCATCACAAAGCCGCGCCAGACAAGGGCCCAGGGTCCCTGATGAGGATGCTGTGGCCACGGTCACTCAGGACTGTCCTTCCTGGACCCGGTGCCAGGCTGAGCCCTTTGTGCGTGTGCACATCCATGTGATTTCAAAACAAGCTGGTACGGCCCTCCCCGCGGGCGCTTCCAGACCAAACCGGCCCTGCGTGTCCGTCCGCCTTGGGCTGTCCCGGACGGGCCGGGAGCAGGCGGCCGAGGCCCTGCCCCGCTCAGCACAGACACAGACACAGACACGTCTTTCTGCCTGCGCTGGCCGTGGTTTCGGGGCACCATGGAATTTAAAATGCATCCCTTAGCCCAGCCGGAGTGGCTCAGGAGTTGAGCTGTGACCGATGCTCCAGGAGGGCACAGGCCCGGGTTGTGGGCTCCATCCTTTGAGTGGGGTGGACAGGAGCTCCTGCAGCTGGTCCGTGATTCTCTCTCATCATGGACGTTTCTCTCTCTCTCCCCCTCTCCCTTCCTCTCTGACATCCATAAAAATATATTTAAAAATAAGTAAGTCGATAAAAATGCATCCCCTGGAGCTGGCGAAAGGTTGGCATCAGAGTGGGGACGGCGGTCTAGTGTCCAGGAGGAGGGCCGTTGGTTAATGAGGAGAGAGAAGCATGGACCGGCCGCCTCCTGCACTCCCCAGCCTGGAGATGGAGCCCGCAACCCGGGCTTGTGCCCTGACCGGGAATCGAACTGTGACCTCCTGGTTCACGGGTCATCACTCATCCCCTGAGCCACACGCTGGCTGGGCCCCAAGGCAGCGTTTTAAATGAGAGGAGGGGGAGAGAGAGAAAGAGAGAAACATCGGTGTGAGAGAGACATGGATCGGTTGCACCCTGCTCAAGCCCCGCCCCTGAGCCCTGGATCGAACCTGCAACCCAGGTGCTTGCCCTCGGCCGGCCGGGAATCAAACCGTGACCCTTCCGTCCGGGGCAGCCGCTCTAACCACTGAGCCAAACCAGCCAGGGCAGCCTTTGGCAGAAAATGCAAAAGGGAAATCTGAGAGTTGCTTTTCAGCATCCCGGACATGCTTAGTTTTTTGTTGTTTTGTTTTGTTTTGTTTTTTAAGAATGTGGATGTGTCATTATGGTCCCCACCGCATTCGCCTGGCAGAGCTGTGGGTTTTTTAGAAAAGATGACAGGGTGGTGTGGCTCTGGGGCCCTGCCCTGCTGGCGTCCTGGGCCCTGGCACAAGCTGAGGACGTGGCCACGAGTCCAGAGCCAGGGGCACAAGCTGCCCTGCAGATGGCGGGGGGGGGGGGCAGAGGGGGGGTAATCGGGGGGTTCCTCTACCCAGGGCAGCACCTGGCAGGTACCCTGCCCCGGGGGCTCCTGGGAGAAAAGCTGGTGACCCAGCTGTGCCCTGGGAGGGAGCCGAGGCTGGCTCCCGGGGAACAGGTTTGGGGAGAAATGGAACGGCTGGTTCCGGTCAGGCAGGGAGGGGACGGCTGAGACCACGTGGCTGGCCTGGAGTCCCCATTTGACTGGCAGGAGTCACTTGTACACTCTGAGCAAGAGATTCCCTCAGAACCAGGCGAAATAGCATTTTATTTTTTAAAATATATTTTATTAATTTTTTTCAGAGAGGAAAGGAGAGGGATAGAGTCAGAAACATCGATGAGAGAGAATCATCCATCAGCTGCCTCTTGCACACCCCCCATGGGGATGTGCCCGCAACCAAAGTACGTGCCCTTGACCGGAATCGAACCCGGGACCTTTCAGTCCTCAGGCCGAAGCTCTATCCACTGAGCCAAACCGGTTTCGGCAAGAAAATTTCTAAAAAATCATAGCCAGTCAGCCCTAGCCGGATTGGCTCAGTGGACAGAGCGTCGGCCTTCGGACTGAAGGGTCCCGGGTTCGATTCCCGTCAAGGGCACAGGCCCGGGTTGCGGGCTCGGTCCCCAGTAGCAGGGCGTGCAGGAGGCAGCCGCCTGATGACTCTCTCTCCTCACAGATGCTTCTCTCTCTCTCTCTCCCTGTCCCCTTCCCCTCTGAAATCGATAAAACCATATTTCAAAACAAATCACAGCCAGTGATAGAGTTACTCGCAACCAAATAATCTCGAAAGCGAAATACCCAGATCCTTCAGACATCGAGTCGCAGAAATGACATTTCGTGTGGGGTGTGGAGCGTTGGCTGCAGGGAGGAGTGTTTGGGGGGTGGGCAGGGTAGCCCCATCCAGGCCCCCGGTGACACCCTGAATCAGGGCCGTGGGGGGGGGGCCCATCCCCCACTGCCTGGGTGTCCGCTCCGGCCGCTGCCCGGGGCCGGAGGGCTGACATCAGTCAGAGCCCCGGCCGCATTTTTGTGCGGAGTGTTTATTTTTGTCCGGCTCGCTGTCGTTTCTCTATGAGCTCAGAATGGCAGCCATCTCCGGAATGTGCCCCTTGACTCGGTTTCTTGCGGGAGCAAACAGCAGGCTATCCGGCTTGACACCAAATTGGGGAGAAATCGCGGCGAGACGCCCTCCCCGGCTGACCCCCGCCGGCCTCTCGGAGCCCCAGGCCCAGGGTTTGTTTGGTGCTGAGCGCCCCGGACTCATTCCCCCGGGACCGGACGGCTGAGGGGTCCCGGCCGCCTGTCCCGACCGGAGCCGGTTCAGCGGGGGGATGAGAGCTGCATGGCTGATGTTTAGGAGGGAGAACATATCCCACGGGGAGGGATTGATATTTTTTACAGAGAGGAAGGGAGAGGGACAGAGAGTTAGAAACACCGATGAGAGAGAAACATCCATCAGCTGCCTCCTGCACACCCCCCACAGGGGATGTGCCCGCAACCAAGGCACATGCCCTGGACGGGAATCGAACCCGGGACCCTTCAGTCCGCAGGCCGACGCTCTACCCACTGAGCCACACCGGTTCCGGCCAACAAGGTCCTGCTGGTTCCATGGTTTCTGAGATCTTAGCACTGTAGGATCTTCAGGTCACGTGGCCCAACTGCACTCCCCCCCACCCCCCGCATCCTTCTGTCCCCCTCACCCCCACCCCCACCCCTACCCACCCGCAGGGGGACGGGCCGCGGGCGCCTGCAGCTGCAGGCTGGCTGACCGGCATTCCTCCCAGCAGCCTGTGGCCTTTTGAGGAGGGAAGGCGTTTGTAAGTGGAAATAACTCGGGTTTAACGTACGTTCATCCACCCACGCTCCCTCTTCGTTTTTATTATTTTTACGAACTTTGTTATAAATATATTTCTATTGATGTCAGCGAGGAAGGGAGAGGGGAAGAGAAACATCCATGAGGAGAGAGAATCCTGGATCGGCCGCCTCCTGCACGCCCCCCATTAGGGATGGAGCCCGCCACCTGGGCCTGAGCATCGACCTATGAACCAGGCGGTCAGGGTTCGATTCCCGGTCAGGGCACAGGCCCGGGCTGCAGGGGGGGGCGTCCGTGATTCTCTCTCCTCGTGGGTGTTTCTCTCTCTCTTTGATGTTTCTCTCTCTCTCATCGATGTTTCTCTCTCATCGATGTTTCTCTCTCTCTTTGATGTTTCTCTCTCTCTGATGTTTCTCTCTCTCTCAGATGTTTCTCTCTCTTTGATGTTTCTCTCTCTCATCGATGTTCCTCTCCCTTCCTCTCTGACATCGGTAAAGAGCACACGAGAAAAGAAATCGGACCCGGGTAGGAGCTGGCACAGACAGGACGCCCCTGGCACGGGGAACGGCGGGTGGGGTGGCTGGGAGGCCGCGGCCCGTACCGCGTGGGCCCCTGAGCGCGCACAGTGGGTCCGCGGCCCCGGCCGACGGCTGCCGGGGGAGGCGATGGGGCTCGGGGCTCAGGTGGCTTCTTGAACTTTCCTTTCAGGACATAACGTGGCAGGACGAGCACTCGGCCCCCTTCTCCTGGGAGACGCGGGTGAGTCGGATGGAGCCTGGGTTTTCGTGTGTGTGTGTGTGTGTGTGTGTGTGTGTGTGTGTGTGTGATGAGCTGGAGGGGAGGAGGAGGAGAGGGGGGAGGAAGGGGGAGGGCTGGGGAGGCGTTAGCCCCCCACAGGCGCTTGCTCTGTGGGGCAGAGCTGTGATTGGAGCTTCAGTGACCAGAGGGAATCAGGGACCGGCTGCCTCCTGCACGCCCCACACTGGGGATCCAGCCTGCAACCCGGGCCTGTGCCCTGAGCGGGAATCGAACCCTGACCTCCTGGATCCTAGGTCAGCCCTCCCCCCTGGAGGTGATGCCAGCCAGGCCCGTTTGGTCTGCTTTTCACCTGGATGAGGACTAGAGGCTCCGGTTCTGACTTCTCCGTTGGAGAGGGAGGCTGGGAGGGGGCTGGGAGGGGGGCTCAGCAGCAGGCTGCGGGGCCCAGCCGGGGTGGGGGCAGTCAGACCAGTGTCCTCCCACTCCTGTCAGCCTGGCAGGCGAGCGAGTGGGGGCAGGAGGGTGCCCCTGGGACCGGTGGATGCCTCTCTCAGGCTCCTGGTATTTCGAGAGGAAAAACCCAGCGGGTGGAATGCCCCCGGGAGGGGGGAGGGGGAGGGGCTGGAGGATTCTTGGCATTTCCTGCCTCTGGGCTGGTCCCTCACCCGCCCCCCAGCCCCACTGCGCTTTCCATCCCCAAGGCGTCTGGACTTTGCCTTTTAAAAATTATATGTATGTTCTTTATTGATTTCAGAGAAGGGAGAGGGAGAGGGAGAGAGAGAGAGAGAGAGAGAGAGAGAGAGAGAGAGAGAGAGAGAGAGAGAGAGAGAGAGAAGCATCCAGGATGAGAGAGAGTCACAGATCGGCGGCCTCCTGCACGCCGCCCCACACTGGGGATCCAGCCACACCCCGGGCCTGTGTCCTGGACCGGGAATCGAACCCGGACCTCCTGGTTCACAGGTGGACGCTCAGCCGGTGCGAGGGCCCCATTTCCCCCTCTTCTCCGCCCTCCCCCCTCTCGGAGGGACCGTGGAGAGCGTGGGTTTTTTGGGATTTGCTCCAGAAAACTCGTCCGCGCCCCCCTCCCCCCCCACGGCGTCACTGCAGCCGCTGGTCGGCGTCCAGCGCGGCCGAGGCCGCCAAGCCAAACAGTTGGCTCCGGCCGCCCGGCCGCCCGGCCCGGGACCTCGCATTCTTCTCCCTGAGCGGGACACAGAAAGAGGCGCTGGGCCCCGCTGCCGTCTTTCTGCTTTTAGAACGGACGTGGCCGGCTGAGCCGGGCCCCCCGCGGGGTCACTGACACCCTGTCCTGGCCGGACCGATGCCCCCCCCCCCCACACCCCCCCGCACACCCGCCCCGGCCGGCCGGCTCTGCCTTGGCGCCTGGACTCACCCCTCATCTCTCCTCTCACACAGCCAAGGCCAGCCCCGGCCGGTGTGCCTCAGCGGGTAGAGCGCCAGCCTGCAGGCTGAAGGGTCCCGGGTTCAAGTCCAGCCAAGGGCCCGTGCCCGGGCTGCAGGCTCGATTCCCCCAGTGTGGGGGGCGTGCAGGAGGCAGCCGACCCGTGATTCTCTCTCCCGTCTTCTCTGAAATCGATTTAAAATTTTTTTAAAAAGGAGCCCTCACCGGTGTGGCTCAGTGGGTAGAGCGTCGGCCTGCGGACCGAAGGGTCCCGGGTTCGATTCCGGTCAAGGGTGTGGACCTTGGTTGGCGGCACCTCCCCAGTGGGGGGCGTGAAGGAGGCAGCTGATGGATGTTTCTCTCTCATCGGTGTTTCTCACTCTCTATCCCTCTCTCTTCGGGTGCTCTCTCCACGCCGGGAAAACGGATTCTCTTCCCAGAAATGAGAACAGCCCCCCTGGATCTCATGGTCTCTCACCCCGGGGTGCAAAGTGTCCCCCACCAGGGCTGCCCCCTCCTGCCCGCCCGCTGGTCCGTCCCCGGCCCGGGGTCCCGCCTGTCAGAGTCTGCCCAGCGGCGTGACCCTCAGAGGCAGGGCGGAGGGTGGAGGTCACAGCCCCTGGCAGGCCGGGACCTGCGCCTCCGCCTCCGTGGGGGCATGCCGGGGCCCTGAGGCCGAGGGAGACGAGATCTGACAGGAGAAAAGGCCCAAGACCCGTCTCCCTCTCTCCCCCTTCCTCCGGGGCCTTCCCGGCCGGGGAGGCCTCTAAACACGAAAAACAAACCCCTGGATCTGGGGGGCGGTGAGAGGAGAGCGAGCACCCCCATGGTGGGTCAAGGAGGACTGTTTTCCAAGCATATGTTTTTTTTTTATTTCAGAAAGGAGAGGGGAGAGAGGGAGAGAAACATCCGTGATGAGAACCGTGGACCGGCTGCCTCCTGCACGCCCCCCACTGGGGATCAAGCCCGAAACCCAGGCACATGCCCTGGCCGGGAATCGAACCGCGATCTCCTGGTTCAGAGCTTGATGCTCAACCACTGAGCCATGCAGGCCAGGGGCCTGTTCTTTGTTTTGTTTTTTAAATACATTTTATTGATTTTTTTACAGAGAGGGAGAGAGAGCTAGAAACATCGATCAGCTGCCCCCTGCACACCCCCCACTGGGGATGTGCCCGCAACCAAGGCACATGCCCCTGACCGTAATCGAACCCGGGACCCTTGAATCCGCAGGCCGACGATCTATCTACTGAGCCACACGGGTTTCGGCAAGGGGGACGTTTTTAAGAGGAGATTGTAGTCCTTATTTGCAGGATAAAAAACACCATCTGCCTGGGGTTGAGGACTTACGGGTTCTTAATCTCTTAAGCTCTTGTTTTCCTCCATCTTCCTCCCAAAGCGCCCAGACCTGGTCAGCCTCACAGACCTCTCTGCTCGCCAGGGGGCGCCCCCCGCCCCCCGCCCCCCGGGAGGAGCGGGGACTGGTCTCCGGGTGCCCCCGGGGCTGAGGGGCCGGGGGAGCAGGTCTGTCCCGCTGGAGGAGGTCACACCCAGCCCAGTGCTGCCAGCGTGCCCCTTCCACCCGCCCCAGGCAGACCGGGCCCCTGCCTGAGCCTCTGGGCCGGTCCCCTCCCCTCCCCTCCCCTCCACGCAGGCAAACAGCCTGGCTTTCCCGAGGCTTCTCCGCAGGGATCCCCGTGGGAGGCACTGCTGCTCCCAAAAAAGGCCTCACTGTCCTCCTCACCCTGCAATTTCCACATCAGAGTCGGCTCTGTTTTTTTGTTGTTGTTTTGTAGTTTTTTGTTTTTTGAGCCGTTTGCTTATTTAAAGAAACCATCCTCTCTGTGTCTCTTCTGCCCGGAGCTTGGAAGACGCCGGGAGCAGGTGGCTGACTCAGAAACAGGCTTTAGCCCCGGCGGGCGTGGCCTCGGGCTGAGCGCTGACCTGTGAGCCAGGAGGTCCGGGTTCGATGCCCGGTCAGGGCACAGGCCCGGGTGGCGGGCTCCATCCCCAGGGTGGGGCGTGCAGGAGGCAGCCGGTCCACGACTCTCTCTCATCGTGGATGTTTCTATCTCTCTCTCTCTCCTCCCTTCCTCTCTGATATATTTTAAAGAGAGAGAGAGAGAGCCAAACCGGTTTCAGTGGATAGACTGTCAGCCTGCGGACTGAAAGGTCCCGGGTTCGATTCCGGCCAGGGGCATGGACCTTGGTTGCGGGCACATCCCCAGTGTGGGGTGTGCAGGAGGCAGCTGGTCCATGTTTCTCTCTCATTGATGTTTCTAGCTCTCTGTCCTCTCCCTTCCTCTCTGTAAAAAAGGAATAAAATATATTTTTTTTAAAAGAGAGAGAGAGAGAGAGAGAGAGAGAGAGAGAGAGAGAGAGAGAGAGATGCAGAAAATGGACACAGAGCTTGGTTCTCGCTGGGGCTGGGGCTGGGCTGTGTGGTCGGCGGGTTCTAAGGGCCCTCTCTGTTCTCTCCCCCACCCGCGCCCGGCAGAGCCAGATGGAGTTCAGCATCTCCTCCTTGTCCATCCAGGAGCCGAGCGGGGAGCCCCGCCCGCTGGCCCCCCGGCCGGCCCCGGGGGCCAAGTCCTGCGGCCCGGACGAGGAGGCCGCCTTCTGGAAGGTCAACGCCGAGCGGGCCCGCGGGGGGGGCCCCGAGGCCGAGTTCCCCTCGCTCACCCCGAGCCAGATCAAGTCCATGGAGAAGGGCGAGAAGGTGCTGCCGGCCGGCTGCAGGCCGGAGCCCGCCCCGAGGGACCGGGAGGCCCCGGGGCCGGTCCAGGCCGGCTGCCCCGGGGCGTCCGGGGAGGGCCCCCCCCCGGAGCCCGGGGCCAAGCCGCCGGCCCCCGAGGCCGGCCCGACGGACGGGGAGACGGCGACGGACGAGCTGTTCCCCGAACCCGGCGCTGCCCAGGTGGGTGGTGGTCTCGCTGCTGGGGGGGGTGGGGGGTCCCTCCTCTGGGGGGGACGTGGGAGTTCCCCCCTCGGGGATGCTGTGATCCTGAGACATACCTGATGGAGGTCCTGCTTTCATTTGTGTGTTTTTTAAATGTATTTTATTGATTTTTTATAGAGAGGAAGGGGGAGAGACAGAGAGCGAGAAACATCGATCAGCTGCCTCCCCCATCACACCCCCCCCCCCCCACACACACACACACACAGGGGATCAAACCCACAACCTGGGCCTGTGCCCTGACCGGGGAGCGAACCGTGACCTCCTGGTTCATAGGTCAGTGCTCAACCACGGAGCCATGCTGGCTGCCTCCCAGTACTTTTTATTCTTTCAGCTTTGCAAGTGTGTGTGTGTGTGTGTGTTCATGTGTGTATGTGTTCATATGTGTGTGTGTTCCCGTGCGCGTGTGGTGTACGTGTGTGTGTGTGATGTGTGTGTATGGTGCATGTGCGTGTGTGCACGTGTGTGTTCATGTGCATGTGTGTTCATGTGTGTGTGGGGTGTGTGTGTGTTCATGTGTGTGTGTGTTGTGTGGGTGTGGTGTGTGTGGTGTGGTGTGTGGTGTGTGGGGGTGTGTGGTATGTGGTGTGTGTGGTGTATGTGCGTGTGCATGTGTGTGTGGTGTGTGGGTGTGTGTGCCTGTGATGTGCGTGTGTTACATCAGGAAGACTATTTGTCGCCTGTTCTCTTACTCCGTGGTGACGACGTGTGCACATGCCTGTCTTTGCTGTGTCGGTTGGTCTAGCAGCTGCTCACAGGCATTTCTGGGGACAGAGAGGAGAGTGTGGATTCGGGAGGAGAGTGTAGCTAGCATTGAATTTGATTTTTTTTTTTTAAATTTTTATTGTTGATCGTATACAGATATCTCGCCTCCCCCCCCTGTTCCCCCTCTCCTAGCTCCTCCCCCCTGTCCTCACCACCCCATTGCCCATGCCCACAGGCTGTGCCTGGAGGTACACACGTCCCCCCAACCCCACCTCGAGGCAGGTCGGTCGCCTTGCGCCTGACCTTAGAACGTTCCGGGGGGCCTGGCCCGCGGGAGCGGCTCCCTCATTTGGGTCCTTTTAAACGAGACGCTGTTTTCAGGTTAACGCGGCGCTAAAAAAGGGCCTCCTGCTCACGCCAGTTCCCGTCCCTCCCCTCGCAGGTCAGCGGCAGCAATGTCATCCTGAAGACCGGGTTCGACTTCCTGGACAACTGGTAAACCGAGGCAGACACAGGCACACTCGCCCCGCGGAGAGCCGAGGACCCCCGACCCCCCACCACCGTGGGGCGGCCGGCGGCGGAGGGGCCACTTGCCGGGCTCTGGACCCAGTTTTGTTTTGTTTTTTGTTTTGTTTTGTTTTTTAAAATCTTCTGGAAACTAGTCAAGAATCGCCGAGTCCAGATTTCCAGCTCTCCCCCCTTTTTTTGCTAAGACCCGGCGCCTCTGCTGTTTTCCACGATTGGACAAACCCAGGAGTCCCGTTTGGAATGTTCAGAGGCTGCCGGGCATTCCCGTTGGGCGCCCTGTGACTCCAGCGTCTGCCTGTCCCAGCCACAGGGCTTCCCCTCCTCCGAGAAAGGGCTGTCTGTCCACCAGGCACAGAAGTGACAAATCGGCCTCCCTCCGTCCCCGTCTCCTTCACCCCCACCCCCTTCCCCCTCTTCCTCCTGGTGGGTTTCCGTGGATGGGTGACCTCCGGTGACCTTGGGCGGGTGGCCGTTGGCGGTGGCCTCGGCAGGCCGGCTGTGATGGTGGGCAGATCTGTTCCCCACGTGCCCACCCCCCTGCGCCCCCCAGCCCGGCGCCCGGCCGCCCAGGGCTCCCCTCGCCGACCCCACCCTTCGAGACCCCCAGTGTGTTGTGCTCACGGCTCACGGTGGCCTGTCCGGACCCAGCGGTGGTAGGGCTGCCCTTCTGCTTGGCGTTTGCACCGTTTTCCTCCTGGACGTGGTTCTTCGCTGCTTCTGTGGGTGCCCACGTCCCCCCACCCCCACCCCTACACCCCCTGGGAGGGCGGCGCGCAGGGTCCCCGGCTGGGGCTCCTTCACCCCCCCCCTCCCCCCTGGGGCAGGTGCCCCGGGCATCATAGATCCTCACAAGCCCCGAGTCTGCGGGGCCGGAGACCACTGTCGTCATAGGAACCCCGGAGACCTCTGTCGTCATAGCAACAGCATCTCCTGGAGAAGGACCTCGCGGCCCCCCTGATGCTCCAGTGGGGGTGGCTCCCAGGCTACCCCAGGGAGCCGGGCGGCCCCTGCACCTGCCGCCCCCCACCCCACCCCCACTTCCAGCCCAGTGCTGGGTGAACCCCAGGAACCTGAACCCCAGGATTCACCCCAGCGTGATGGACACGCACCTCACTGTGCCCTGCTCACCGACGCCTTAACCCCCGCCCGTCCCGCCAGCCGGCACCTGGGCCCAGCGTCCAAGCCTGTGTTTTTGGGTGTTTTTTTTGTGTGTGTGGGTTTTTTATTTTTGTTTTGTTTTTGTTTTTTTTTTAAAGAAACTTGCCTCTTTGTTCCCCGGGAACAGATCGGAGCCGACTCCCGAATATTTTCTCTGGCTTTGAGGCGAGCCCGTGGCCTGCCAAAGCCGCAGCCCGGCCCCCGGGGGCTCGGCTCCCATCAGCCGCCGCGCATCCCCGAACCTCCCCTGGCCCCCTGGGTCCCGGGTGCGACCCTCCTCCTTCTGCTGACTCTGCCATTTTTTTTAAAAAAGTATATGTTTGTGTTGATTTCAGAGAGAGGAAGGGAGAGGGGGAGAGGGATAGAGACATCAGTGATGAGAGAACCGTGGACCAGCTGCCTCGTGCACGCCCCACCCTGGGGATGGAGCCCACCACCCGGGCCTGGGCCCCGCCCGGGAATCGGACCCTGACCTCCTGGCTCACGGGTCGACGCTCACCACTGAGCCACAGGGGCCGGCCTGGCTGCTGACTGTCTTTATTGCGGCAAACGCAGGTTCTTCCTGTGCCGTGTGGATGTATAATAATTTAGCTAAACAAGGGCAGCGTCTTTCCAGCGAGCTGTGAGCCTGCGGTCCCCCCCGGGAGCGGTGTGGGGAGGGGGTCCAGACCCCGGCTTCCCCCCGGCCCTGTCGGGGCCATCCCGCACTCTCGGGCCCCAGCCTGGGAAGCGGGGACCCTTAAGAACCCCGAGATGTGCAGGCAGGCGTTTGCGTCCCCCCGTGTGGGTAGCAGGGTAGAAAGATCCCTGTCCTGGGACCATCCCCGCGAGGTGATGTCTGTGTCTGTCTGTCTGTCTGTCCAGGGAGATGATGCAAATCTCTCTCCCCCTTTCTCACGGAGCCCCTTTGCGGTCTCCTGGGAAACCCCAGAGGGGTCCCCGAGTCCCCCCGTTGCTCTGCTCCACTTGGAAGGGAACCCGAGAGGGAAGAGCCGAGGCCCAAGGCCTGCACCCCGCCCTGCCTGGGGGGTCCTCGGACCCGCAGCAGCCAGTGTCCCCCCGGGAATCCAGGCCCCGGGCCTCCAAACTGGGGGAGATTAAGCTCTTGTGCTGGCCACATTCCACCACCACCACCACCCCCCACCCCCCCCGGGTATCGGGACGGAGGTTTTAAAATAAGGTGACCAGACGACCCGCTTTTGGGACGCGGGGCAAATGGTTAATCGGGACATCTGGTCACCTTCTTATAAAACCAGGAGTTTCTGTTTATTATTATTATTATTATTTTTTAAATATACACCCTTTTCAGCAGAAGCCTGATGTGTTGGGGTTCACCCCCCAACCCCCCCCCCCCCATGGCCCCCCAAGCCCCGGATTCAGCTTAAGGATCCAGCGTCTTTCTCCAGGTGACTGTCTGGCAGACGCTCCCCGGAAGCCAGCCTCAGGCCTGAGTCTGCTCCCCCCCCCCCCCCGTGACCTCTGCCTTCCTGGTCTGTCCCCCCAAACTCCGGATCCGGGCGTGCCGCCCCATGTGGGGGGTCTCGGGGTGGCGCCTCCTTTTCTTAGATCCTCTCCTCCTTTGATACACAGTTTTCCAAGACGAACGTTCTTACCGACTCCTTGTAAGCGGCGGTCTTTTCTATGAATAGCCTTTAATAAATCCATTTCACAGAGTTCCGAGCTGTCTGTGGGGGCCCCTGAGGGGGCACGGGGGGAGTGGGGGCCTGTGAGGACGCATCTGGTTCCCCGAAGCCCCCGACTGGAGACCCACCCGTCCATGGGTCTGTGTATCCAGATGAAGGTGCGGGAGGGCGCGCAAACCACTGAGCCACGCCGGCCAGGCCTGGCTGCAGGTCCTCACGCAGATGGAGGGCTTGTCCAAATGCAGCCTGAGCAATGTGACTCTGAGGGCACGTGGGGGTTGTTCCTTTGGGGGGGGGGCAGGTATAGGGGGGCTGTGGCTCTGAGGGAGCTGGGATTGGGGCGGGGGGGGGGGGGAGGGAGACACTCCTGAGTCAGACTTGTAGTTCTCTGCACGTGGTAGCGAGCACACTCCGCCACGTGCCCTGTTCTCCCCGTAATTGGACACAGATGTGCCTCGTCTGCAGGCTCTGGGCAGACGGCTGCCTCCCCCGCCCCCTGCACCCTCCTGGGTTCTGGGTCTGAGCTGGGAGGGTGTGTGCACCCCACGTTGGGGGGGGGGGACCCCAGCCCACTAAGTCCCTCTAGCTTTTATTTTATTTCTTCATCCTTGCTCGAGGACATTTTCCCCATTGATTTGTAGAGAGAGGGAAAGACGGAAATACCGATGTGAGAGAAACACTTCGACCGGCTGCCTCCTGCCCGCCCCACACTGGGCATGGAGCCCACAACCTGGGCGTGTGCCCTGACCGGGAATCAAACTGTGACCTCCCTGTTTATAGGGACCGGCCTGGCTAGGGACCATCCCCTAACGGTCCACTGGGAGGGAGAGAGGCAAGGCCACGCTCACGTGCAGAAGCCCGGCTCTGCCGAGCGTAGACAGTGAAGGCGCCGAGCAGGTGGAGAAGCTGAGAGGAAGGAGGCGGCGGATTCCTGCCGCCCCCCACACGGGACCCCTGAGGACGGTCCCATCTCCGGGCCTGGAGCCTGGAGCCATCTGGGGACCTGAGCCATGACGGGCTACCCCCGCCCCCCACGGCCTCTCCCTCCGCCCAGCCAGACAGGACGTCAGAGCAGGAACCCTATGAGCACAGAGCGAGGCAGCCCGGTCAGGGCCAGGGCTACGAGGGAGGAGGTCCCACAGGGCTCCGGACTCAAGGCCAAGGCCACGTCCGCCCAGCGGTCACGCACTGGCTCCTTGTGGTTCCGTCGCCCAAAGCCGCTCCTGGGCCCCCGGAGGGCGGCTCTTCCACAAAACACCACGGCCTGGGCGGGTCTGCATGGAAGACGTGGCGTGAGAGGAAGTTTACGTTTCAACAACGTGGCTCTCCAGAGACACGTCCGTCGTGGCCGACAGTGGGCTCTGTGGACGGATGCGTTTGCCGACTCCTGGCCTAAAGGAAGAGGGATTTTTTCCTCCTGGCGGAGCTCTGCGGATGGTGAGCAGACCAACCGTGATGATGAGAGGGCATCCCCGATAGGTGGCCTTCCACCCCTGCTGGGGAGGGGGGCCGTGCAGGTCCAAGGGGGGTCTCTCTCCCCCTTTCTCCATCCTCCCCGCCCTCTCTCCCTCCCTCCCCCCTCTTCTGTCCCCCAGCCCCGGCCCCTTCCCGGAGGGCACCTGGCGCTGGGAAAGTGCCCCCCGCGGGCGGGCATCGGTAGCAAGCACCGCCTGCTGCCAGCCCACAGCTGCGGAGCCCACGAGGCCTCCACCCTGGCGCTTGGCAGGCGGCCCCAGCTCCCGGGATAATGGCGCTTTGTTACCGCAGACGAGCCGGCGTGTGAACCGAGCTGGCACGGTGACCCCGGCCGCCCTGCCAGCCCTGCCAGCCCTCCAGCCCGGCCATGTGCTCTGGTGGTGCCCGGAGCTCAGCACCAAACCCAGGTCCTCGGTCCAAACCCCCGGCACCGTCCCAGGAGGGCCCACGGGCCCACGGGCGCCTGTCCGGTCCCAGGTCCGGGTGGGCAATCGGAGGTAAATCGACCGAACACGGTGGTTCCCCCCTAACTCTCCCCATCGCCCGGCCGGCGTGGCTCGGTGGCTGAGTGTTGACCTAGGAACCAGGAGGTCACGGTTGGATTCCCGGTCAGGGCACAGGCCCGGATTGCAGGCTCCATCCCCAGGGTGGGGCGTGCGGGAGGCAGCCGGTCCAGGATTCTCTCTCATCATGGATGTTTCTCCCCCTCTCTCCCTCTCCCTTCCTCTCAGAAATCAAATATATATACATATTTATAAAATTATATATATATATTTTTTAATAGATTTTATTGATTTTTTTTTTTTTACAGAGAGGAAGGAAGAGGGATAGAGAGTTAGAAACATCAATGAGAGAAAAACATCCATCAGCTGCCTCTTGCACAACCCCTACTGGGGATGTGCCCGCAACCAAGGTACATGCCCTTGACCGGAATCGAACCTGGGGCCCTTCAGTCCTCAGGTCCACACTCTATCCACTGAGCCACACCGGTTTCGGCTATAAATATATATTTAAAGTCCACGTGGTTGTTTAGTATTTGACTATCACCCTGCCGTTGGGGAAGGGAGCAGTACAGACATATTTCCCCCCAACCCAGCCGATGTCTCCATTACTAAACAATGGGAAATTAATAGACAGACTTGGACGGGCTGAAGCTCAGCTCAGATTGCGTTTTGTTGAACGGATGGCCGGGAGATCAGTAAGGGAGGGAGGTGGGGGGCGGAGAGGGAGGAATGGGGGGGAGGCCTGGACCTGGGGTGCCATCCCCGGGCAGCGGAGTCACACAGAAGCAGCATGAACTCGGGCAGCAGAGCGAGGCCATGTCAGTCGTCAGTCTCCCCAGATCAGGTGGTGTGGGGCTGTGGGGGCGGACAGGGTTCGACAGAGGGCGGGGAGAGAGCGTCCAATACTAAATGGGCCGGCTGGGTCACCTCGGTGAAGCCTCAGATGTTCATTGTCAGGTAGAGGAACTGGGGAGAGAGAGAGAGAGAGAGAGAGAGAGAGAGAGAGAGAGAGAGAGAGGAACCGGTGAGTCCTCCACCTCCCCACCCGCCTCAGGAGAGGCCCCGTGGGCTCAGGCCCTGGAGCTCCGCCCTCTGGTCACCCTCCAGGTGCAACATGCAAAGTCCAGACGTGGAACATGCAAGGTCCAGGCGCTCAGCAGCTTTGAAGGCTATGGCCCCGTGGCTGCCTCCCCTAGGTGGCTCCCACACTGCTGGCTGTGGGACCCCATGGGGCAGCTGGGAGGAGACAATGCACACCTCCAGGCCTCTTCCCAGCCCCGGAGCCCCCTTCCTGCCCTCCCCTCCATCATGTTTGCTGTCATCAGCCCATGCCATTGGGTATTTTGAGGAGTTTGCATGTGTGCATACCTTCCTACATGCACTCGCTCTTTCACTCTCTCTCTCTCTCTCTCTCTCACACACACACACACACACACACACACACACACAAGCCAGGAACCACGAGACCCCTGGGACGACAGGAGCCAGGCGGGGCCTGGAAGGCAGGCTGAGGAGCCCCCGTGGCCGCAGGAGGAGGAGGAGAAGGCGGGGCTTGCTAGCTCCCTGCTCCCCGATCCCCGGGGACCCAAAAATCTCTCTATGCCTCAGTTTCCACTTCTGCAAAATGGGGAGACTCTTCGCCCAGCGCTTGGAGGGGCTTCGGTAACCATCCCGTAGCAGC